AATCTTGTTGCTTATTAATGAGAAATATTAAAACTTTTATCCAGAAAAATAATTTTATTTAGAGTAGAAATGTTAGAAAGCAAAACTCCTTCACAAGTATTGTCATTCCAAACTAAGAGTTGCGTACAGGGTTTAGCAAATCGAGCACACTCGTGTTATGTACACAGTTTTTGTAAACAGGGCTCGAGTTCTGTTTTTGTTTATGTTTACAATTCACGGGTGCGTTCTAAATCGTCAGTCTGCTTACCACAACTGCACGGACTGACAATATATTGCGTGTTGTTTTGCTTTCGAACATGTCTACTCTGAATTTTCTGGATAATAGTATTAATATTTTTCATTTATACACAACGAGATTGCCACTTTTCCTAAGGATTAAGAACAAAATTAATTTGTAAAAGTGCAACGATGTGTCAATCAAACCTGCAAAAAAATTTGAAATATTAATATCTTTTATATGAAATAAGATTTTTAATTAATTTTTGTGTGAAATGCTATTAAAGTATATAAGTTGTAATATTATAGAGAAAATAATAACTTCAGATCTGTGTCCAAGTACCTTTAAACATACTTTTGTTTTTCTTGAAATTTTATTGCAGAGGACTGCAAAATATATTTCTAGCATAAGCAATTTTCTTTCACATTAAGTCTGTTTTAAGTGATTTTAACCTGCACTGTCTTTTATTCTTCCATTTGTGAGGGAAGCTTTGGCGGTTCCTAACGACACAAGCCACCTCTGTCTCTCTTGTGGATTTGACGCCCGAAGATAAAAGTGGGACTCTCCAGGAATAATCAAATCTAACCGACATTTGTCTGTTGAATGGACTAGGAAAGAAACAGAAAGTGTAAATAATGTTTACAATATTTAAACATCTTTTTAAATAATTAAATTATATCAATTTATGTAAGTAAAATTTGGTTTATATAACAGTTTATTGGAACTGTGAATTTACTTCACTTCAATTATTTGTAATTAAATTGTTACGCAGTTAAACTATACAGATATCATGATTGTTAGAGTATACATGTACCTACCATTGATATCGCAGACAGCCATTCTGATGGATCCCTTACATCCAAGGTTGACTTCCTCCTCTGATTTATAGTAAGAAAGAATTCCATTGTCCAGAACAAACCAGCGAGGCTGCCAACCTTATACCAAAAAAAAATAAACATTTACGACTCGTCTTTAATAATGGCTGGCTGATACACAGGCACTAGGTATTCTCTTTAAAGAAGTGGACAGGCTATCACCTACATCCGGATGTAGCCGATAGCCTGTCCACTTCTCTAAAGAGAATAAGGCACTATATAGATAGAAATTTCTATAAAATGATTTTTTATGTTAACTTTTCAAATTAATCATGTTAATGGTACAAATTACATCAAAAATATGTCCCTGGAAAAAACAACGAGACTAAAAGGTCCAGGGTAAATGTAATGGTGGTAGTGAAGGGTCCTCTCCTCAAGTACCTCCAACAGTCGTCACAAATCTGACTAGTGAGAGTTTTTGAAATCTTGTTAAAAAAGTTATTCATCAACAAATCTACAACAAAATCTTTTTTATTATTGGACTCTTCGACTTGTTTGATTGTTAACTTTACCTGTCAAGTAATTGGTCCATTTCAGAAGCACTCCTTCCATACTAGGGAAGTCCACACACACCACGTCAAGGCTATGAAAAGGAACACAACATGGTTTCCTCGAATACCATTTTATGCCATCGTCAAGTTTTTTGTATTTCTGTATTTACTATTTCATCACATGTATACTGTCTGTACGTCAGTCTGCACACTATTTACAACAGGTGGAACTGGCGTTGGCCTTCACCCTTTCGCGTGGCATAAACTTCCGGTTTGTAGTTAAGTTAACTGTGTCGTGAGGTGATTCGACTTTTGATCATTTTGCAATACCCCGGGGAACATTAACTTGCAAAATTGGAAATATACAGCTTAAGTCACTTCTATCTGTTACAATCAAAACATTCAGTGATAGTGGACTGAACGATTTTTAAATAAAGTTGTCCAACAGTTTTTAGTGAGAATAAGTATAAAACTCATGCACTCTTATAATCGGTAACGGGTTCGTTCGCCCGATCTACCTGTTCGCAGGAGTCTGTTCGCCCGAAATATTTTTCGCCCAATATCTTGTTCGCCCTATATGTGGTTCGCCCAATATATACTTATATATGATTGTATATATATGAATTAAAAATTAACATACGAGTATTTTTTTTTTTATATTTATTTCCTTTACGAACTTGGATTTTTTTCCTCAAATTCTGATACGACGAGCAATGTTTAGGCCTATTTAGTCTAAATTAATTTTTGATTTGATTCTAATGATTTTTTGAATGACTAAGTGTTTGAACTACAGTTAATTAGATGATTAATATCAATGTTAATTAAGGGGGATACATCCGTGTAATTTTTACGAATTGCGCTATGTTTTGAAAACAATTAAAGGACAGGTGTGACCGCTAATACTAAAACGGGTGTGACCATATGCATAACGTCTGACGGATACAAAGACGGACTGCTTTATTTTGAATGTACAAAAAAATTAGGAAAGAAATTCATTAGATTTTATTCGTCATTAAATTACGGCGAACGGACCCTGTGCGAACAAGTTTTAGGGCGAGCGGACTCTGGGCGAACAAAAATCGGGCGAACGGGGAATCGGGCGAACAATTTTTAGGGCGAACGAACATGGAACCCTTATAATCCTAGAAATAAGATATATTGTCATGTTAAGCCATGACCTGACTCGACAATCCCCCCTTCTAAAATCAAATATCTCCTGAAAAATAATCTTTGTCTTCTATGATCTTTCGCGTTCTTAAAATTATAAGCTAAAACTCATATTATGTAAACTTCAAACAATTTAGTTGATTTTTAGATCAAACATTCACTCTTTGCTTTGAAAACAGCTCAAGTGGATTTAAAATGAATTTCGATCTGCAATTTCAATCCTATGTTTTCCCCACGTCCGCGTCGAATTGTACCCGCCCATTGCATTGTCTATCACTGAATGTTTTGATTGTAGCAGATAGAAATGACGTAAGCTGTATATTTCCAATTTCCCCAGTTAATGTTCCGCGGTCTTATCACTGTCGGATCCAGGAATCTTGAAAATGGGAGGGGCTACTAATTTTGAGTAGGGGAGCCCACAATCACAAAAATGCTTTATTTAAAAAAAAATCTTGTGTATATTTTGGACACAAAGTAGTGGCGGTGGTGGTGGTTGGGGGGGGGGGGGGGGGGTTATGGTTCCCTGCATGGCCATTGGCAGTGCCGTATAATGATTTTGTAACATCTAGATATTTCGATTATTATTTCATAAACCTCATTCCCGGCAGTCACGCATTTTAACGCATATACCATTATCTATTTCTAACATAAAATCACACATACGAGGGGTTATCAAAAAGTTCGTGGACTGAGGCTATAAAATTAGTACTATGTAGTCTGTGCTTTCAAAATTTATATGGAACATAAAACAACAAAAAATAAAGAAATGTTGAAAATTTTAGCCTGATACGTTCATTATTTTCCAAATTATATTATAAAATGAAAAGGACAATATATGATCACCCGGCGCTGTCGTCGTTTATTTTCATGACGTCCGATAAAGTCATTGTTTTTTCATTGTCCGCTTCTTCTACCTCATACACTTTCTTGATGAGAAACCCTGGAGCTAAGAAAGGACTTAAACCCGCTTTGTTTATATGACTTTACAATGTCATGAACAGTGGCCTTCAATGAATATAATATTCCAAATGGATTAATACATTGGGAGAGATCCGCGCTTGATTGTGCCGGCACATTTTGCTTTTGGGAGTTCAATATCTACAACGCATGATCAACGTCATTTTTTGACGTGATTGATTTTTCACACTTGGACTGCACATCGACATTAACTGTGTATCCCTTTTCTCTCTGAATCTATTTTGACATTAAAAGACAAGTACTCTGGATGCATTTTATTTCTCTGTAGCCAGTTTCAACATATTTTAGGTTTATACAAGTTTTTTTAGGGACAAAACTTTATAGATTATTGGAAACGGAAACCCCTCCCCCCTTTTGACGTCATTTTCAAGGCCTCATTTGTTTGGCCATTCCGTGTAAAATTTGTGATAAAATTTCATAAAACTTCCAGAATGAAGTGAAAATTTCGTATTTTATGTAACAATTGTGTCCAGACACATACCTGTTTTAACGGGATTTTTGGATGTCAAATGACCATATCAAAAGAGTTTTTTTCAGTAACACATAGGTCGCAAAAACGTCGTGTTCGAGGTTGCGCCGCCTGGACATACCATTGCTTACAAAAATATCACTAATTTATTAAAAAATAAAATTTATGATTTATGGTTTATTCTTTAGATAGAAAAGATGATGCTTATTAGATATTTTAAAATTCATTGATGTGCTTAAAGCGGTTTTAATTTTATGACGCTAGTCCACGAACTTTTTGATAACCACTCGTATATACCTTTTCCCCACAATCACACATTTTTCACGCACTTTCAAAAGTAAATTTAATCTTAGAACAATTTACTGCCGATCCCCTTCTATTTAATACTTGCTAAAATCTAATAAATAAGAAAATTTAAGCTCTTATTAAAAAAGATTACCATCATAATTATTAACTCATAACTTTAGAAAAAAAAAAACTTGTACCGATCTAAAAAGTGCTTGCAGGGAAAAGGCAATGTCATAACCACTTCTATGACGTGTATATTGCATGTTGCGTCACAGTTCAGTAAGATGTAAAGAGCTGACAGGTGTTTGTGGACAGGACCACCCCCCTCCTTGAATATATACACAACGGATCTACTGATATTTTTCAATAAGAAATATTCTATTATAGTACTAGCATATATATTTGAAATGGATTCCGTATGGAAAATCCAGAAATAGCGTTATATTAATTAATGTTAGTTGCGGTATTTTAATTATCAATAATCCTTTTTCATTCCTACGATATTATTCAATATATTCATTTCAATTAGTTTATTGACAAATTAAGGGTCCTCTTGGGGGAAAGAGAAAGTACATTCACAACATTTGTACATAACGATTATAATCATACATGAAATACAATATGCATATACACAAGTTAATTGTTAGGTCATTATTTACACCCTGAATGCTAATGGATTTTCCGATGTTTTTATTTCGATCGTGAAAAGGAGCACGGCAGGGGTTACTCACTCCTCCATGGAACCTGATCCCACTTCTGATGTTTTGGAGTTCCCTGTTTGTTCTGCTCCTAATTTATATTGTGTGAATTGACCTTTGAGTTCGACATTATCTTTGGGCATATATGATCCATGTATTTCATCCAAATTCCAGGCATTAATTATAGTGAACAATAAAAATAAAAATGAGCTGATAAAATTACAAGTATGTATAGGATGCTTGTTTAGATTCAGTTTTACATATATAATTATTTCAACAAAATTGATTCTAAAAAAAATTGTCAATATATTATTACAACGTTGATTGTGGTAAACATAGCATACCGTGCAGTACTTTGCAAAACTATGTCATTTCCAATGTAAAGAACCTTTAAAAACAGTCATTTTTTAAACAACAGAATGTCATTAGCACTCAGTCTTATTCTAGTATACAATTGGTGCTGTAATTTGCCATTGTTGGATCAACAGACATCCAATCTCTACCCAGAGTTGTCGTTCGCTTCGCTATTAGTGGAACGATAACTCTGGGTAGAGATTGAACAGACATGATCATTGCTTTATTAATTCGCCCACGCCGCAAGTTCCTGAAGACCATCTTCTTCATTCTCCTTTTTCCTTTCCCTATGGACTAAAGGGAAAATGGAATAAAATCGTTTTAATTTTTTGACATCCAGACAAAGGAAATAAAATGAAACAATCAGAAAATTATTTCTTGCCACACATTTTACCTTTTGATGCTGTATCCGGTATAACGAGATCGTCCCCAGACTTGGCAGGAACCGGTTCTAACTTCATCAGTTCCTTTGTAAGATCATCCACCTCCTCCTCCTCCATCATCTGACGCAATTCTTCCTCCAGTTCGTCCTGAAATTGTATTTTGAATTTTGTTGAAATAAGCCTAGAAGAAATATTTTTGATCGAGGGGATTCATTTTATCACTTACGTCATCATCTGGGCCAATACGCATGCTTATGGCTTCCCGGGCTTCTCGTGCCAATTCCCTCTGTTCTTCTATATCCTCCATTAAGGTTTGTATCTTATCTACATCTCTGTAAAAGATTATTCAGACAAACAATGCACAAATTCAGTGAAACTTTGACCCATACACCTTGTCGTCAAAATGCAACATAGATTTCTATTTGAGGCTAGATTCAGTTTCTGAGTTATCTTTAAAATTACCGAGAATATGATTTTCCATAAAATGATTCAAATTGTCCGCAGCTCTAAGCCCTACGGTCCACTAAAGAGTTTTAATTTCATGGTAGTCTTGAGCAGTAAAAGTGTTCTATACCCTTTAACATAGAATATAAGTAAAAAACAGTGTTTTCTGTTGATAACTACTTCATTGTCTTTCAAAATTTCTCCAGAAGAAATATGGAATATTACACATATGGTGACAGATATTGCTTGTAAATATAGTTATCTTGTATACTTTTCTCGCTTGTTTAAGTTATCTTGCATGTAGGGGGCAGAAACGTGCCACAATGTATAAAATATAACATATGATTAAATCATTACGTACAATTGTAGATTAGCTTTCTGGAGGGTTTCCTTGGCGATTTTCATGACTTGGAGAACAGTGGTGGTGGTTCCCACATTTTCTAGATCTTCCCTCTGTAGCTCGATGGTGGACAGCGTATTATCAACTTCAGCCAGCTGTTTCTCAAAATTCTTCTTTTTCTTCAAGGCTTTTAAGGCAACTGTGTATCATAGAGTAAAATTCAATTCATTAGAGGCATTGTTTTATATTTTGAAACTTAGAAACAGTGGAATTATTAAAAACCACATTTCATTGTTTTAAAGTCCCTTTAACTCTCCAACTAGCCAAGTTGAGATCGATCTACCCTACATTATATACTCGATTCCTTAACATCATAAAAATAAATTGTTACTAACAAAAAATGAATTGCCGGAACAAGCTTAATTATGATCTTCCAAGATTCCTATCCTAGCTTACCCTTTACAAGAAGGATATGGAGATAACGAACAGTATTAAATCTCAAAGTCCATAAAACAATACAGAATAAGAGCAGAGCAAACACGGACCTCCGAAACATCAGAGGTGGGATCAGGTGCCATGGAGGAGTGAGCATCCCCTGCTGACCGGTCACACCCGCCGTGTGCTCCTTGTCATGATCAGGAAATAACGGAAAATCCGTCGTCAATTCAGTGTATAAATAATGGAATAACAATTACTATGAAAAATGTCAGTCAGCATTTGAGTCAATAATAAATTGTAAATTGTATTTGTTGACAAGGTCATTGTATCGACCATAGAACGTACGAAATGATGACTTTTAACGAGACTGCTGATATTCTTGTTTCATTTACTTGCTTGTCAATAATTTACCTCGGTTTAGAAATTGTTCCTATACGTTGAGCAAGCTCTTGCCTATCGAATCATCTGAAATATATACACTCCGTATGCAAGGTATATATTTCTGCATGAGTTAGAGAAGCTGACGATAGAAAAGTTAAAGTCATCACGTTTATCATATAGCTCGGTTGTAAGATTACCATTAGGTAATTATCAAGTAAAATATCCAAGTATGAAACAGATGTGTCAGACTCTGTGGTACAGTGTATCTTTTATCTCAAGCTCACCAGGATATATCGTATCGACGTAGGAATGGAAATTACCATTTTTAATTGACAATACGTCGACGTCGTCGATATATCTAAATGCTGAGTTGAAAGCCACAACAAGTGTTTTCTTCTTTTTACGCATGAGATTTCGCACAAATTCTGCTTCATATGAATATAAAAATACAAACATTTTAACCGGTGTAGAGGAAAAACTTAAAAACATACATGTATTGCCAACTCAAAACTCGAAACCTCCAGGAAGTATTATGCCGATTTGTTTTTGTATTCTTATGAAGCAGAACTTACCTACATGAGAAAAAGCACAAGAAATGTATTGTTTGATGATATTTTTAAGATTGATCGTTCGTTATCTTCGCCTTTTCCCGATATATATATTTATATATATCCTGGCGAACTTGAAATTAAAGATACCACAGAGTCGGACACCGATTTTTAATAGGAAGGTCGTAATCGACAACAATTTGGTGAGACAAGAATATCAGCAGTTTCGTTTAATGCCATCTTTTCGTACGTTCTTTGGTTGATACAATGACCTTGTCAGCAAATACAATTTATCAATAAGACAATTTTTCCTATACTTATTATTAGGCCATTATTTACAAACCGCATTGTCTACGGATTCTTCTGTTTTTCCCGATCATAGCAAGAAATTAAACACAGAGGGGTGTGACAGATTGGCAGGGGATATTTACTCCTCCATGGCACCTGATCCCACCTCTGATGTTCAAAGAGATCTGTGTTTGCTCTGCTCTTGATTGTATTGTTGTACAGAGTTTTGAAGTCGAATACTGTTCATTATCTCCACTGATCTCCATGGAGAAAAAAGTGTGGTTTTAATTGGGCTTTATTGTGCCTTTTCAAAAAGTTATTAAATTGGCTTAAATATGAGTAGCAAATTATGACTTTGATAAATCATGAAAGAATGTAACATAAATAAACTCATTTCAGTGGTTATTTTCCTTTAAAGGCCTATTTCAGTTTTGGGATCCCATGTTAAGCAAAAGCTTTACTATAGTAAACATTAAATCACATTTCTCGAAATCCTTGTGGGCAATGCATGTGCTCTATATTATCTGAAGGAATAATCCATTGAAGATTTATGACTTCTGCAACATTTTTTTGGTCAATTTCCCCTATTTTCTTTAATGTCTTCTGCAACATTAAAGAAAGTAAGTGAAAACTGACAAATTTGGCAATTAGGGGGTCATACATGATTGTATGAGAAAACGATTTATATTTAATAAATATAAATCGCTTTCTCAGATGACCCCTAAGTATTATTTATGTGTTCATACAGCATGGGATTTCAATGATACAGAAAGGACAGATTCTAATTTCCTGCATCACTTTTATATTTGAGAAAAATACGGATTTGTATTCTTTGTGTAAAAATTTCATACCTCGTTTGTTTTTAAATCCGGCGCTTCTCGCTTTTTCAGTCTCTTGCTGGATGTTTTCTTCCAGGTACACAGATTTTTTATTTAATAATTCCTCCAAATCACGTAGTTTTTGGATCGCTTGTTCCGTGGACACAGTTTCACTCTCTTTCCCCCAAAATCGACTCCAAAACTTAGAAGCCATTTCTATCGACGTCGAAAAAAAAACATATAAATTAATGGAGGACAACTCCTGTGTATTTATTTATAACAATTCGCACGTGACGACATGTCATCATTTCGAATATAGAAACTTACAACTTTTTAAATTTCCAGATAAATCATGATTAAATTTCAAGAGTAAGTAAAGATCACACGTCGGTCTACAAGTGACTCATCAAATCTAATCTATAAGTCTTCATAGAAAAAATAAATTCCTTCCGATGCAAACTATTGTTGAAGATGTAAAAAGCATTTTACTTGATTGCCCTGCATATGAACATGTTAGATAAAAATAATCATAAATACTAACATGAATATCTTATCTTATTTACTTAATCCACATATCCTTGTATCTTTACGAAACAATTATCAGAGATCTTGCTACCAATTTATATAACATAATATTCATATATATATTTACACTGTGTAAAAAGCTTTTTATTCAATAAATGAAATACAGTATTTCACTTTTGAAAATTATAAAATTGAATTTTGTTTTTATGAGAAATACATTGAAACTCGTAACTGAGGATAAGGCATAGAATGAAGTTGATGGAAATAACGTACGGCGTATACATTCAAGCTTAGAAGTCCATTCCTACGATACAAATCAGGTGCAGGGCATGCACAGGGTCCTCTAAAACATCAGAGATAGGATCAGGTGCTATAGAGGAAAAAGCATCCTTTTTAGACCACCGTGTGTGACTGATGATCTAACAATTATCTTGAAAAAAAAAACGTTGGTTAGATAGATTGTATTTGCTGATAAGATTATTGTATGATCCCAACACTTACAAAATGATGGCTTTAAACGAGACTGTTGTTATTCTTGTTTCAACAACTTGTTTGTCAGTAAATCACCTTGTTTTAATAATTCAGCGTACGTAGAACATGCTTTTGCAGTTGATAAGGGTATATTACTTCATATGTCAGGGATATTGAAGATTGAAAAGTTAAAGTCATCATGTTTATTATAAAGCTTTGTTGCTAGGTTATCATTAACGTCTTTTTATCTAGTAAAATATCCAAGTATGAAAAACAGTTGCCCGACTGGAATATATTATGTCGAAATATGCATGGAAATAACTATTATTCATTTATGATACGTTGATATATCTATTATTATATCAAAGAAGAGGAACTAGGTGGCCATATCGCTGATCTCGGCAACGATATCCAACTGACCATACTTTGGCAAAAGTAGTTTTACAAAATTGAATACAATTTATATCTTTTTAATACTTACCAACTAACTATTAAGACCATTATACTCTGAGGGCAGATTATTTTCAAGGAGCATACAAACGTAGACCCCATTTTGTGTCATTTCTCGTACTCCTCAGGGTCATATTTGAGAAAAAAAACCCAGAAAATTATAAACACAGAAAAGTATTAGGAAGAACTTGGATTTAACTCTACAAATGTTGATTCAACTTATACTCAGTTCCCCTTTCTAAGGAAGAAATTGTCAGTTTTGAATATTTTAATATTCTTAAGAACCAAAATAAATTTGAACTTCCATATTCATATTGGATTCCAAAACTTCATAAAAATCCTTACAAATAAAGATACACAGCGGGTTCCAGTAAATGCTAAGCGAAGTCCCATCTTTACTCCTCACTTAGATATTAACAGTAGTGAATGAGAAACTTTAAGAGTACTGTACAACAATTTATTCAAGAAGTGATGTAAATTAGATATGGGTCCATAAAAAAATTACCAAAGTCAACAGTTTCAAAGCCTATGACTTTTCAACTTTATACACAACCACCCTCCCACAATGAATTAAAGACTAGGCTTTTCGATATCTTTGACGGCTAAATTTTCAATAAAAATGGAACTCGTAAATTTACTTATATTGTCATTGGTCATTTGCAAAATTATTTTGTTAAAATCACTTCTTCACAAGAACTCTGAAGTTGTCATTAAAAGCTTGAGTTGTTTCTAAATGATAACACTCGTATCTATACATTGTATAATTATGTGGTTTTTGAAGACCAGGTCTTCCAACAGTCTAATGGAATTCTCATGGTTACCGATTGCCCCCCGTTATTAGCAGACCTATTTTTATATTCATATGAAGCAGAATTTATCCAAAATCTTAAACGTGATACGAAGAAAACACTTGCTGTGGCCTTAAGCTTCAACTAGACATTTGAATATATACGGTATACAACGAAAAATTTTCAATTAACAATGTTAATATCCATTCCTATGTCGATACGACATATCCAGGTGAGCTTGAGTTAAAAGATACCACAGAGTCTGGCACATCTGTTTCATATTTGGATATTTTAATTGAAAGGGACGTTAAGCTCTATGAAAAACGTGATGACCGCAACTTTACAATTGTCAATTTCCCTTACTTATTCACCAGCATACGGAGGTTATGTATCTCAGTTGATTCGATAGGCAAGAGCAATTTAGAACAATTTCTAAAACGGGATAAATTATTAACAAACAAGTTGGTGAAACAAAAATATCAGCAGTCTTGTTTAAAGTCATCATTTCGTAAGTTCTGTGGTCGATACAATGACCTCGTCAGCAAATACAATTTATCATTGAGTCAAACGCTGACTGACGTTTTTCATACTTATTGTTAGTGCATTATTTGAACTCTGAACTGACGACGGATTTTACCGTTATTTCCCGATCATGACAAGGAGCACATGGCGGGTGTGACCGGTCGGCATGTGATGTTCACTCAATCATGGCATCTGATCCCACCTCTGATGTTTTGAGGTGTGTATTTGCTCTGCTCTTATTTTGTATTGTTTTTATTTGAACTTTTGTGCTGGAATACTGTTCGTTATCTCCATATGTTTCATTTTCTTTTAATTGAAAGACCATTCATGTTCATTGTAAAAGTAAAAAAGTGACATTTTGCTAAACTGTTGTCAGCTGATATCCATATGCCATCAAATCTGGTAATCTTTGTAAGCATAACTCCTTGTGATTTTTTTTCAGAGTGCACTAATATGGTCGGAATCAACTTTCTTTAAAAAGAATTATATTTATTTTTTAAAGTGCTTTATTTTAGTTAACGCAATTTGGAATTTTTTTTTCAAAGTGCGTTGTAATATACATGTAGCATAGACCACAATTTATGGAACGGTTATTTTGTTTTTATTAAAGCAGCAATTTGGTTTGACTATAATTTAAAACAATGTAAAGAAAAGGTAAATTTCGCGTTAGAAACAAGACATGCAAGTTTTCTTATTATCTTCGCACATACTGGAATATCAAGCGATAACAATCCGTGTTTGGCCCACTGCAGAATGCATGTTAACTTTGACGAGAAACCCCTTATCTCCTCCCAGCTATGTCAAAGGTCACGTGAAATAGGAGCAAACTATGACTGTTTTGGTGTGTTAACGATATATGTAAAATTATAGCTTGGTTTTCAAAGTCCAAATTATTAAAACTTATTTTCCGACATTTGATAGTTAAATAAAAATTACACATGGTTTGCGGTACTTTAGTCTACAAGTAATTCAATTAGAAAACTTTCATAATAGCTTGTTTTCATTAAATACAACGCCTCCATATCTGACATACATTTCAATTACTCATTTATGCAAACTTTATGGAATTGATATACTTGTAATTTTTTTTTGTATAGTACAACTTACTTAATTAAACGTGTTTTTGTCTTAATACCCTTTCGGGTTTTGGCATGTCTCCAGACTTCGGGGGTGGGGATATATATTTTACATAACACCGCAGGAAATATTTTGACAAATCACTTTTTAGTTCATTTCTCACCAATGAAACTGCCCTGCTCTTTCTTGTATAATTCTGTTACTTGGAGTTTCAATTTAATGTATTTTTTCAAAGCTTTTTAGAAGGATTCATCATTTCTTATATATGTAAAAGAACATAAAAAAAGAACAAAGAGTAAAACAATTTTATTTTGTGTTTTTATTTGTTCATTTTAAGATTTTGTTCCATCATTATATACAAATAATATTATGTATCATGTTCAACAAAGTTACGCTCAACACACATCCATGAAGCATTCTTAAAAATAACAGTGACAACTTCACAGTGACTCGCATTCTAAATTCACTGAACACATGTTCATACTTCTGTTACCCATGAACACGTAAATGTAGAAATGATAATATATACAATCAATGATAAAATGTCGATGACTGGAATGATAAGAATCACTAAAATCATCCTATCAATAATAAACGCACATCAAACCGCACTAGATATTACATCATGTAAAAATGCTTCTCTTAAAACATTATAACAATCAACAGGATTACATCTAACAATGAAAAGACTGGCTAGAACTGAGAGGCGGTAAAATATTGCAGTTTTTGATTCTGAAAGACTTGTTTAATAGATCCCCTGACTAGAGCAATGCACCACGGAAATGTTAGCTAAACTCACGACAAGCCACTAGAAGAAATAGTCGTCCAAAAGATTAGGGTCCACATAAGTAGGACGAGGAATTTTAAAGGCCCCTCCATTTCCCAACGTCGATAAACTGCAAAGAGAAGATATCCAAAATAAACATTACCTTACTGGATAATAAAATGCAATCGATTGCTATTTTCCAAAACAAAACATGTTGAGACAGTACTGAAAATGTTACAAACCTTTCCAGAAAAATGGGATTTTCAAATATGGGTCCATTTCTAAAATTAAAATAATAAATTCAATTATTACAACTTTGTAAAGTTCGCATACAAAAACACACATAAATTTTGAAAATCAAACCAATATGATGTTTTATGTCATATCAATAGCCAATAAAATTTGTTTACATTTCCGGGTCCGCCTCAGGTTTGGGTTTTCGTCTACACTTTACGAGCACCATAAGAACAATTGCTATAAAAATCACAGCGACCAGAACTCCAGAACTGGATGCTATGTATACAACCAAGCTGCTTATTGAACTCTCATCAACTTCAAGATAAAATAAAATCAGTTTTTAATAATTTTTATCAATTCAAAACATTTACAGTTTGATTTATAGTCATGATTTGATTTAAAACAAGAGGCCCAGGGGCCACAGGGCCCACCTGAGCACATCGGCTAGGAAAAAAGCATATCAGATCAGAACTGAAAGTTAACTTAAGTTGGGGGGGCTTGAAATTTAACCCCCCAGGGGATCATAATTTCAACAAACTAGAATCTACATTACCTGAGGATGATTCCATATAAATATTACTAATCATGGCTTTGAAATACTTGAAAAGAAGATTTAAAAAGGTTTCCCTATATATTCCTATGTAAAAATTTGGTCGGCCATTTTGGCCCCACCCTACCCCTGGGGGTCATGACTTGAATAAACTTGAATCTACACTACCTGAGGATGATTCCACATGAGTTTTATCTTTCCTGGCTAAGTGGTTCTTGAGAAGAAGATTTTTAAAGATTTTTCCTATGTATTCCTATGTAAAACTTTGATCGGCCATTTTGGCCCCGCCCTACCCCCGGGGGTCATGACTTGAACAAACTTGAATCTACACTACCTGAGGATGATTTCACATGAGTTTCATCTTTCCTGGCCCAGTGGTTCTTGAGAAGATTTTTAAAGATTTTTCCTGTATATTCCTATGTAAAACTTTGATCGGCCATTTTGGCCCCGCCCTACCCCCGGGGGTCATGACTTGAACAAACTTGAATCTACACTACCTGAGGATGATTCCACATGAGTTTCATCTTTCCTGGCCCAGTGGTTCTTGAGAAGAAGATTTTTTAAAAATGCCATTAATTTTTCTCTAATTAATGATTATCTCCCCTTGCAAAAGGGTGTGGCCCTTCATTTGAACAAATTTGAATCACCTTTACCCAAGGATACTTTGTGGCAAGTTTGGTTGAAATTGGCCCAGTGGTTCTTGAGAAGATGAAAATGTGAAAAGTTTACAACGACAACAACAACAACGACGATGACAGACGACGGACAAATTTTGATCAGAAAAGCTCAATTGAGCCTTCGGCTCAGGTGAGCTAAAAATTACAACACATTAGATTTTAAGGAAATTTAGACAGGATGAAGAAACTTTCACTTACCAACTTTTTCAACACACATAGGTGTGCCCCCTGACCACCCTCCATCTTCTCTGCAGACTATGAAGGACACACCCTGTATAAGTTGGAAACCTTCCTTACACCAGAATGTGGCGTTGGCCCCCACCGAGTACCCGCTTACTGAGCGATTCCCATTAGTTGGCACATCCACAAACGGGCACCTAACCACTAAGTAATTAATTAAAAAACTACGTCAGTTTGCAATAAGAGATGATTGTAAGGAATTGAAATGTATTGATACATTGCATTTTTCTTAATCAGAAAAAGTGAATATTTCGATTTAGAGGCTTAGACATAGTTTTAGCATAAATACCTTTCTGTACATCACTTTCAATTTCTTTGAATTTCTCTATAAACTGCATGGTCCCTTTTGCTATGTTCTCATTTTTAGTTACACTATAATCATATTGACACTGCTTATTATCACCACACAACTCTAAAACAACAGTCAAATTTAATTCCGGATTTCCAATGTCGTCCAGAAATACCGGTGTGTAGCTTATTGCAGTGCTTTCTGTGTTTTGGCGTGTAAATAACAATTCATCACTTTGCACCTCCCCTGAAAACAAATACAAAATCTCAATTCAACAAATATCACAGGAATTTTGATTTTAAATCTTTATTATCAGAAAACAAAGGGGGGTTATAAACGTTTTATTTTCATTTACAATTCATTTCAAATAAATCACATTAAATCAATTACTGAAACTGCATCTTTTAGTCAACTGAATGATTACTGAAGGGACTGGAAAGGTGGTTGAATTGAATTCTCCTTTTCAGTCACTATCATTCATTAAACAGGAGTCACCCTAGAGGAAGAATGACCAAAAAATACATCCCGAAATTAATGACTTACAGGACATTCCAAATTTGAAATGCAAGTCTTCCATTGAGGCATCAGAAGGCAGCACCTGGTTTTGTCGGGTTATGAAATCGTCGTTGTCATCTCCATTAAAATTACCAAGCAAGCCACGAATTTTACCTGAAACACAAGTGAAAAGTTAATATTGTGTCAAGGTGACTAAGCACTTGACCTGTTTTCAAAGAGGACCTGTCAAATGGAAAGCTTACAAGCTGTCATAACGGTTCCAAAAGACCTTGTACGAAATACAAACATGCTTATACAATGATACATCATGACTTTCAGTACACCGAGTGCAAAATTCTGGTTACACAAGAGACATTTTGCTTAAAAAATAATACTTTGTTAATAATGTACAACTATGTATTTTTTTAAATAATGGATTCATATGACGGCCTGTTTTCGCTACCTTTGTATCTTTCGCCGCTGATCATGACTAGAACGTTAACGAGATCCTTGGACACATCGACTGATATGGATAAATCTTCATTCTCAAACACAACTAGAATATTCACTGTAGAGTTCTCCCTCTCTCCTCGCTCCAAATTAACACCATTAAAGTTTGAGGTAGTTTCTACCAGTTCTACAGAGTCATTGTTTATTAAAATCTCTGCCATTCCGTCACTAGTTTTGTAGATTTCAACTTTGTCAGAAGTTCTCGTTTGCATTGCTATTGCAGAAAATACACTGGCGTTTTGCAAAATCCCTGAAATGTTCAAAAAAGAATATATGTAAGAAATGAGTATCACAAAACATTTCTTTTCTTTTATTACAAATATTCTTCAATTTCAAAAATACAATGTATCTGATAATTTTTTTTTTTTTGGCAAGGGGCACCCCGTAAGAGCTTTTAAAAGTATTTTGTTGAAGCTGTACTGATAAGAGTAAGATTGGATCAGATTATTCGATCAATATCGGGTTTTTTTATGTCAGAATTTGATAACTTTATTTTCGTTGGATGACTCACCCCCGGTGTCCCTCGTCTGAATGGAGCGCACTTGCACAACCATAGAAGAATTGACGTCTTGCAGTAAGACGAAATCCCCGATGCCATTAAAAGTATAATCTTTCCTGTCTAACGTTGTCAAGTGAGGATCCCCAGCTGCCTGCGCTGTAAAACCAAAGTTTGTCTTAAATAGGGACTGTTACTGTCAAACGGATATCACTTCAACAGTTTCCTTCTTTACTCCAACTTTGATTTTCTTAGTTTGTTTCTAACATTTTCTACGTATACTTTTTTCAAATAGAACATAAATTTCAACAATTTATTTTTTATAATACATCGGATTCGCTTTTTTTTTCTTAGAGAGATTAGAGACTAGTGTATACTGAAAATAAAACTACGCTACGAGTTTGTTTTTCTCCCAAATCAATGAATAATTGACATTATCTATGCAATTATGTTTTTATTATTTTTTTCAGAATCGTCATACCAAAGAGGTTAACACAGATGCAGAACATACCAGCGTTTGTACCTTGATTATTCCACAGCTATGACGTGTTGTGTGTAAATGTTATCTGCTCAGACCTACATTCTTCTCGTATATTTTTTGTAACAAAAACCCTGTTTTATTTTTTATTCTGCGAAGCTTAATTAACAATTTAAAGGATTAATTACCAGGAGTGGGTGGGGTGTATGCTTGGCACGTTGTTGGCGGTCGAAGTTTTAAGAAATGTTGGCACATGGAATTATTGTAGGAATATTGACAACACTGCACAAAAGGCACCAGATCATTCTTGAAATACGAGAAGAAGGGCACAATATCCCTTCCCTGTGCATGTATGTGATAGAGAGACCTGGTCCCTCCAGCGTGGGGCTGATCACGTGCATCCAGCAGTTCACCATCCCCGCTGTAGCAGCACGTTTCTCCACTCATAGATAAGCTACAAAGCAGAAGTCATCACAAAACTTCAATATTCTAATCAGATTCAAGATTTTGATGCATAGTTTATTGCACAAGTATTACATCAGTTTGTATTTTGATCAAATGCGAATTTGCTGTAGTCAAGAAACACCACATAATGTAGTAAGCTTTTGCTTATCTGTTTACAAAGAAACATATCCAGAAAACGAATGAGTTCCCTCAACTCTTTGAAATAAACTAGACACAAGCCTATCAAAATAAATTAGACACAAACCTAAGAAGCATTCTCCGGAAGCATTGAGCCGCACCCTGGTTATACAGGCAGTTTGTCTCCCTGTGTTTATTTTGAAGGTTACACAAGGGGTCCACAAAATAACGCCCAGTATCACGTGACGCCTGTCTTAGAGTACAGGGACAAGTCGACTCAGTTTCATTTCGAACAGGAAGTGAACTTTTTAACCAATTTTGGCACATTTTTTCAGCATTTGTAGATAAGGACCATCTTATTGGGAATACATCTGACCAAATCGAACTACAGAAAAGAACAAGATAATTTTCTGAGAGAAGTTTTTAAACATTTTGCATTTAATGCATTTTGGACTATCCTGAAATAAAATGATGTCAGAGAACTCATTGCGAAAGTGTGAATGTTCAGATGGTGGATTAATTATTTGTTTTTGATTTCTTTACAACTTTCTTCTGCAGGATTTAAATTTATTCATAAATCGAAGAGTAAGTTAATTTTAACGCCAATATAAATTTTCAAAAACAAAGGTTTCCTCTGAGATGACACGTTTCAACAAAAAAGGCTTTGTAAAACTACAACGTTTTAGAATTTGGGTGAAGTGTTTGGAATATATTTAGAAAAAAATAAATAAAATACGAGTCGAACCCAGATAAATAAAAAATAAACAGAACTTGCAAAAAAAAATTTAGAAGCTAAAAACAGATTACTGATGGAGCAGTTTTGATTTCTCGGGGACAAAAATACAAAAGTTTTCAGCTTACTATGTACTTAAATACAGTAAATGTTCTTAAATTTGTTTTGCAAACCCTTAAATATTTTTACCTAAATCCAGCAGAGGTATTATATCTCACACGTAAAACCAATGACGTCATATCCTCGTACAAGATCCCGTCTAATAGGAAGGAAGTGAATGCAATGGATGAGTTTGTAGGAGTTTGGAGGTCAAAGAGTTCACTGCTGTGAACAGTGACAAAACTAGGCCCACTATCATTTGTATTCTGAAAAGAAAAACAAAACATTTCTTAGGAAATCTATTTCCTGATAGTCTGACTAAATGAAGTCCCTCTGACTTGTAAACTGAGAAATAAGCCAAGAACGCAAAGGTCAGACAGCGCTGTGAACGTGTTTCCAACACTGCAATATCTTGACTTACTGATCAATAAATTTTGGTTCTTTGGTTATCATTAAACGTCTGGAAATTAACTTCAAAGAAAATATATTGAATTAGCTATTGAGAACATATAATCTGTGTTTCTGGAATCAGGTGTGAAGAATTCTGCAGTGAGGTTCCAAATGGGATACGACTAAGGATACCAAAACTACCTATTTATCTTAATAAAAAACTTGCTGGCATTTCGGAAAACTTTGAAACAATATTAAATAATCTAAATAGTGACAAGGTACCTAAATAATTTACGTAGACTACTTTTTATTTGATTTTATTCTTATAAAATTATCTCTTAAATTTTCATTTACGTCTTCAATGACGCAAGGCGAGAAAAAGATGAATTTTGATAATCGCTCACTTCATCTTCTCATGAAGTCATCAAACATAAGCTGTTAATCCACCTAAATACAACTTCCTCCGGCTTTTTCTATTTTTTCTACATAATTTACAAAATGTCAGATTTCTTGGCAAGGTGAGGAGAATAGGAAAGCTCAGATAAACCCTCTTCTGAATCTGTTCAATCGAAACGAGATACAAACAGACTGGATAGAGCGATAAGAAAAGCAAATGTACGTACTGTGTCCCACCCATTTTATTTATACTGCGCATCTACAATTACAGTTGTAATCTAATTGTAAAAAAAAAGAGCTCACTTAAAATAAATGGAACATAAAACGTTTCCAATCTGAAAGTTATTTTTTATTGAAAGAATTACGAACTATATACATCATACTTTGCTCTTACATATGTTTGATATACACGTTACTAAAATTTGATTAAATCCGAGCAGTTTTAGTAATAGTACCGATATATTGATATAAATGCAATTTAGGGTTTCCTATGATAAAAGAATTGTATCGTTTTTCATTACCCATATATATAATTAGAAATATGAAGGTACACCATTTAGAAGAATGAGTTTGAAACAATGATAATGATTGGACACGAACCTGATAGGCCAGTATGTCCAGGAAGAAGAGAGAGGACGGAGTGAAGAACAAGTTCCAGGACATGGTCACGTTAGTTTGGATGACCCACAAGTCAGGGTTATGACGGATGATTTTCGGCGCCAAAGACGCTACGTTTTCTGCAAAAGTGATAAAGCAATATTATACTAGCTTTGAAAAAAAAAAACACGAAAAAAGGTTGAGATTTTGTTTTTCGTGTATAAATCTGTAAGAGTTAAGTTTGTAAGTTTAAGTAATATACCTATCTGATAAACAGAGGAATAATTCCAACCCATTTCATAAGGGTTCATCTCTATCGTCATCTGACCGGTGCGGAAAACACTAGGCATGATACAAGCTGCTGATATGTCATTAATAGCTGTGCACTCAAATGTCTCATTTGTTTCTTTGATGCGGGCAAGAATTGTGAATGCTGAACTAAAGCATGGTCCTGATATGCGTATCTCCTCGCCTCCAAACATGGATCCCACTTTCGGGAAAACGTCAATTTGTTCTGAAAAAAATATATATACCACCTATTTATACCATTGATATGCAAGATTGCTTTAAGAAATATGCAACTAATCAACAGTTTTCATTTAAAACTATAAATATCAAACAAACATGTACTCATGGTTTGAATTAAAAGCAATGCTGAATTACAGAGTCACATGCACCCTACCAGCATGACTGCATTTGATATCCAGAATATTATTGCCGTCCACTTGGAAGACCCATTTTCCGGGAATGCCCACGTTACTAGTAAGTGTTAGGTTAATCACGTCCGGGGTTTGGGCTCCTTCAATGGAGTAATAATTCCTCTTGTCCCCGGCGTTAAACCCAGCCTACAAGGCAAATACTTTGTTGAAATAATTTTTTTTTATATTTCTAGATCACAAGTGCTTAATAAATGCATTTTGATTTATTTGTAATTTTGAAACATTATTTGATAGAAGTAACATAGTTTAGAAATATATTAATTTAGCACGATAAAAATCCTGAATTGAATTTTGACCTGAGCTGTGCTGCCCCCTAGTCCAGTTAATGGATCTCCCAAACTGTTACTTCCGGTCGTCCACAGGATTCTTAAATAATTAAAAATGACAAAGGACTTCTCCTCGTTCCTCACAAGCACTGCCTGAAACGTGTTTTTCTGGAGAAGAGGAAAAATTATTTAAATTTTGAATGTTAAAGTTGAATAGTGATCTGCATGTGTTTCATGTATTTAATATGGTTATTTTTTTATGATTTACTTTGCTTCGGCCTGGTCCAGATGCGCCATAGAATCCGACATTATCCCAGGTGACGACAAACAGCCATTTGGCCTGGAAGTTTCTCTGTGATATGAAGTAGTTCTGAATCTCCTGTGACGCTCTGTTGAGGAGAAGGGGACTGTACTCCTGCCTGTACCAAATGCTCCCTTTAGACCAGTCCCTGCTGACGTCCACGTCCGCCCAGAAGGGCGCTATGAGGGGGATATTTTCTTGGAGGGGGAAGGACTTAGGTTTGTACTCACTAAGCTGGGCGTCAAAGGTTATAAGACCATTGTTGTTCACCTGTCAAAAGGAGTAGAAGAAAGGTAAAGGAGGCCTCTAAATTGAATATATTTCTTTTATTTAGTTTGTACAATTTTCCTGGAGTATTTTAAAACTGCACTTTTATTTCTTTGACTTTAACTTAATGTAATAAAATATATACACAGGTATCTCTCAGAACTGAATTGGGAAAAAAAGACTATAATGAGCTTTATATGACCCTCCCTTTAGTGTTATTATTCTTCACAAAAATATTATCTTATAAAAACCTTCAGATGAATAATGTACTTCACAAAATATCTAAGATTCTGCGAAGTTAATTGATAATCATATTTCCCTATTCAGTTGAAATTTTAGCATTCAATATAAGAAGTGAAATGAAAAGGTTAAATAGATTCTTGTTCTATAACTGCCTTCTCTCATTATAGAAATAAAATTTTACAGCCACAAAAATTTCGATTCTTTTTATATTAATCCAGTATCATATTAACACCAAAACATTTGTATGAAAGGGTTCGCGTTTTAAAAATTTAATGAAGAACTGCATTTTTTATTTTTCATGTTAATGCGATGTTGAGTCTGAAAACATCAACAAAATCTTAAATTAATCAGAAATACTTTTACAGTGAAAGCAGTCATCTTGGCCAAAAATGATAGTATTGCATACTATAATTCACGGGCAAAAAGATTCAAATTCTGTCTTCCTTTTTTCTAAAATTAAAAATGTAGTGAAATATAAACTATATTCAGGCTAATAAAAAGAAGTAAAATGTTCCAACCCTTCTCTTAAATCTCTTTCAAAACAATAATCACAGAAATAAATTTTAAAATAATTTATTGCTATCTAAACACAGTGAAGTGTATTAGGTAAACACGAGGTGATATTATATCTGGATATAAATCAGAATATGTCCTTGTGGGCTGATACTACGTAAGTTCATACAGTGCGAGCCGGAGGCTGCATTCAATTAGCCTCAGGTAAACATATACCTGGTCCAATAACGGCCACCTAGATCGTCTCATTGACAGTTGCTGGACTCCGCCTGACTATTTCGCCATTTGTCGGCGTTTTGCCCATTTCACTTGTTATCAATCATTACTATTACACGTCAAATTCGGGGTAACAAACTGCTGCTCGGTTATCGGGTGTCGTAAAAGCTAGGAGGAAACTTCGTCGCGTTTTCGTTGTCGACTTCATTGTATTTGATAAATTGGAATAAGAATATTGCAGTGATTTCAGTTCTATTTGAAGTCTAGTCCCCCTGTTTAAACAGTGAACCAAGGCCGTCTTAAAAATAAAATTTAAAAATAAGGAAACGTCTTAATGTTGCGAATTTTGTCCACTATTATATCATTTGATTGGGGTCTATTTTTGGAAATTATTATTTTGAATATGAACATGATGAAAATTCAACTTATTTTAGGTTAATTATCATTATTATTTCATTTTTTTTCTTACTGTACTCAATTGAATAAGTTGAAAAAAAATCATTCATTTAATAATCACGTCCTCAAAATGAATAAGACAAATATGGAAACGAGATTGCAATTATTAAGTCGATATAGAATTTACATCGTTAATAACTGATCGCATTATATGTCATAATTTCTTTTGAAAATTATACTGAACTAATAATTATATTATGCTTTGTTAAATTTATAAAGAAATATTTCAGAGAACGCGAATTCAAAGCTTCTTTAAAAATTAGTTATATAATCCGTCACTTTTGTTTCTCTCTCTTTATCATGTTTTTTATTTCCAAAAAATTAACACTCATCATAGAAATATTTTAGAATGCGACGAAATTAGTGATATCTCGAAAAAAAAATTCTTTTCTGTTTAAAACGTTTTGCAGCTAGTTATTGAACCAACCCCCTAGATGGCCCCCAAAAGCTTCACCTTTCTGCCATGTAAACAAGGGTGGAGTAAAATAGCCTCGATTTGGGTGTTAAAACAGCTTCTCTCTATTTTACAATGGATTCTTATCGGTGTTTCCGCTATCAAGGCCCGAAGTGGGGGTAAGATAAACAGAAATGTTTGCAAGGAAGTCAGAGAGCGCAAACAATTTGTACAGCTTCTGTATTTGTTTAAAATATTTGTACTGCACGATGCAGTAGTATAACTCGAGATATCCATCTAAGAGTAATTTCAGACCTTTTACCCAGTTTTTTACAAAAAAAAGATGAAAAGTCTAATAAATTAAAAGATATATTAACTATCCATTAGTTGCCTTTAAAGTTATCTAGCATAATAAATCTCGTATAAACGTCTTTGTTAAAATAAAATTAAAGAAATGATAAAAAGAAAGAAATCTTTCCATTTCATTTTGCACTTATTTAACTTTACTAATAAATCCAACCATGCAAAACGGAAACATAAACTTTGTTGTAGGAATTTTCGCCAGTAGGGGGCCGAGAGTTAATGTTCTAACAGGGGACGTCAGCGGGTAGTAGTGAACACCTGAATGGCCAGGGCTTTTATTGCACGTATTCAATGTGACATAAAACTCATAAAGCTACCGAGGTCGGCTGTAGGGCTTTACACTGCATTGGAATGTACGATTTTGTAAATATGCGTGATGTGGACAACATTCTTTATGTATATGCATCAGGATATTCTTTGTAATATTTATCAACAAGAGAAAGTTTATTAGATTTCCTTGTATAAAACCCAACTTTTAAAAGTATATAATACGGCAAAAATACACTTATTGCTTAAAACTTTAAATCGGATCAGTTTGAGTTAGAAAATTAATTCTTATTGGAGTTCTTTTCAATCTGGACATGGAATACTCAATAGTCAGTATTTTCCTTTGCCTGTATGTATTCATACAATTTCAACCCTGACCTATTTATGACGTATTAATTACGTCATTTTACATATTTTAATTAATGAGATTCTTGTTTCTAGCAAAGAAAAGTCGTGTAAGGAAAACAAGAAAGGCGGGGAGGATTCATTAATTAAATGTTACACTGAAAAGCGTGCTGACACAAGCTGGCAGACGACAGAAGGCCGCGTGTCTTCAGCTGACCTTCGCAATGATCTATACTACAAGGTCAAATGGCATCCAACAGTGCAGGCAAACAGATTGCATATGGCGCTAGTCTGCAAGTCATTGTAATAACAAATATTACCAGATTATTCTTTCCTACTCGATTTATAACAGAAAAATCTTTTAAAATCACATGCAGATCTCCAGATCTTTATGTGTACAGATATTAAAGTTCTGCTTCTTCCGGTAGGAAATAAACAATTGAGTAAGTTTGAGCAATTATTAGGTTATTAGCTAAACACACGCAAGAGTATTTCCTTTAAGCAATAGTTAGTTATGTTTCTTTCAGGTCACCGTATGGAATTTAAACATATATAATCTTGAAGCCATCTTGCAGAATTAATATTTTTTTTATTGCTCACATTTACTATTGCACAGTACTATAGCAATACCAATTGTGTCTTTTTGAATAAGCTGAGGCTACAGTTTACGCAGCCGGGGAGATATTCCTACCTGTAATTGTATAAATAACATGGTCCTACAGCCTCTAGCGGTTGCAGAGGAAAGCCAAAAGATTTAAAGATAAATTAAAACTTTAACGTCTAATTATAGGAACAAAACAAGAACTGCGCCCAAACTTTGACGTAAAATGGCTCTTTGCGATGAAGAAGCTGATCTGTTATTGGGGGGTGAAGAATTCCGCTCGTGTTCCGATAATTAAGATCTTACGAGAAAAACAACAACTAACGACATTAAAGAATTGGCATCTTATTCTTAGAGATTTGTTTAGGAACGCCCTTTAGTTATTTGCTGCGGGAGTGGTGCACCTTAAAAAAAAAACAGAGACCAAAACCAGCATTCATCTGGAAATCTTTAAATTTACCACAAGAAAAATATAGTTTTGGAAAACAAATTAAACGTTCTTTCTTAGAAAATATATAATTGATACGGGTATAACTGGTTTTTGATAACGATTAAAACAGACCTCTGAAGCGTTTTCTTCAACAATTTTTCAACAATCTGGAATATTATGTTAAGTACAAACATTTTACACTTTAAAAAAATAACTAGTCAATGTCACGAAGAAAACTAGTAGATTCACTGTCCATACAATCACTACCTTAATAGTAGTTTTACCAGATATTGGTGTATTTACTAGATAAGATTAGTAAATTTAGAATTGAAAACTTTCACTAGGTATCAATTTTAATTCCACAACTCACTATCTTAACCAGTAAACTGAAAGTTTACTAATCACGACCAACGCTTTACGAAACACACTAGTTAAATTCACTAGGTTTTTCTTTCAGTGTACGTACTTAGTGAATTAAACATAAAAGCTCTCAATAAATTCCTTCCTCTTTGCTTCTAACTAGACAAGCATTCAATTGAAATCTTATGGTCAATTTTAATTAACAATGATTAAATCGGGAAGTGAAATATTCTTAAATAAACAGGGAAAAATTGTTAAAACATATTTGATGATTAAAAGTTTAGCGATTGAGACAGTTTTAACTCAAATGGATGCTGTATAAAAGTTGCAATTTATCTAATCGTATTCAAATAAATTAAAAAATATATAATGGTTAAATTGTTATTTCTGGCGATTTATATCAATACCAAGAAAGGTCAATTACAGCTGAAGGCTTGGATATTTGACTTCTGGCAGTATTATAACATCATTTGTAAAATTTGCAAAAACTGGAGACTTGCTTTAAAAACTTCAGTTAGGTCTCGGACATGGTCTTTTTAAACATAGAAATGTTAATTCTTATTTGTGTGAACGATTTTATTTCTTTCATTGGAACTGAACCGGTAAGAAAATTGTACAGTGGGTCTAGAAATGAACACAACTGGATTTTCTCAGCCTATCGCGGAATTGTTTATCTTGAAGTAATTTGTGTGTTAGTTTGGGCTCCACCCTACCCCACGTGTGTTTTATTGGGACGGATATATCACTGCGTTGGTTCACAGGATAAAGCTTTCTTTCCGCCATGCCAAAACATCTGGTTTTACTTCAAAAACCTTCCACTTGATTTTATAATCAATATCTTTTCTACTCAGTTTATTTATAAATATTTCACGCCTTGATGACAACGGGCTCCAGGCACTGACCACAGCTGATGGGGACTGGGGGCTAGCTTTTGTCGCGTATTGTTTGTAAAGTAAATGATTAATTGCCAGATCTGCTTTCTTGACATGTAGTGAGGTTCATTGAAAATCCTTGTGTTTGATGGTTATAATGCATCTGTAATCAATGTACACCAGATTTTAGTTCCAAAACTATTAAGTCCTAGGTGTTCATTCTAAAGCTTTTATCCTATTACCACTTCTTACTTCTATTCTATTGTAACTACTTTAAAATGCTATCATTACTTCTTTAAAATGCACCATTAAAGGATTCTACGAAACATTTCCAAAATAAATATATTGGGAGAAATCTGATTAAAGCTGAGAAGCTTGAATACAAATAGTGGTGTGTTGGTACTACAAGATTCCATCCTCCTCCAAAGCAAAAGAATTCTGTGCTCTGACGTCACATGATTTCCCGCTGCTTTCACTCCTAAGACAAAGATTCTAAACACACTATTAAAGAACAATTTACCATGCACGTTTAGAGTCCTACATATATACGAAGGCGGAAATTGATTTTCATCATGAATCACAGGCGTTTTTATGTAAACTGTCTACGCAGAAACAGAGAGAAAGGCCATTTACAAGAGTTGCCTACTAGCAAGTGTAAAATTAACCATTCAACCATGAATGCACGAGTCAATCAGTGTATTTGATTCATATGATTTCTTCTACCGGAAGTAATGGCTTATACACATACCAAAAGGCTCTCAGATATTAAAGCTACTTACAAAGAGACTAAATTTGCTTTTGCCGAAAAATTTGAAAGGGTTTTTCAGCTCAATCTTAAGCGAGCCTCCGTCGTCCGCTTTATCTGTAATAGTGTCCGAAGCTGACGTTCCAAAAGGATAAAGGTCGGGTTTGGTAAGACCTCGGGCAAGTGGAACACAACTTAATACACACACGGTTAGAATGACCAATTTTACGACACTTTTCCGATTACATTTCCCAACATGTGAACACATTATACTCCGCAGCCGGCATGGATTCGATGATTGTGCCCGTATCACATCCTGGCATTGAGATGTCAAACCACATTTTTTGCTAAGACTTGTCAAAGGGTTAGTTAACTAAGTGTCTGATGAAAGCACTAGCAACAAACTTCACAATCCGTTACAAACATTTTAAGTATTTCCATTCAAATATTCAATCTCTCACAAAAAGCTATGATCCAACTACGAACACCCCACACCGACATAACTCCGATCGCTCTCTACACTCTTCTGAACGTACACACTAGTCTAGTCATCCCTCTGTGTTATCGCCAATGTAGGTCAGGCGCTCGCTCGCTGAATAATCGCTAGGATGGGTGTGGTTCAATTTAAATGCACTGACAGATGGCAAATCGCTATGCAATAACGTCGGCCCCCTCGGCGAAAGTTCAACAAATGAATATCGATATTTAAAGGGGCCTATTTTTGATAACTTATATAAAAGCGGATGGTTAAATGTGTTCTAGTTATTTGTTCTTTTTTGCGCTAAACCAGCGATGATTAGACGATATCCATTTATGAATGGGAAATTGATGAAGTACTTACCAATGATTGACGCATTAGTATGTTTAACAGAGGTACGCCCTTTGTGTAAATAAATTATGAATGATTTGTTTTAGCAAAATATATTACAAACCTTTTTAACTTTTTTGATAAATTCCTTGTGAATTGCCTTGTCATTCGACTGTTATTTTTATTAATGTAGAATAAAGAAATATAAATAAATAATGATTTATATTTTTTGTTGTTATTTGACAACTAACTATTTTTCAATAATAAAGTGATATTGTTTGTTTATATTTTTTCCTCTCTTAATCACACCCATTTTCTCTTTTCTCTCTGTGCAATGAATAAATTGATATTAATACCAGTCTTGTACTTTTCTGGTCAACGACGTTAATTTTTCATATAAAAAGTCATTCATAAATTGTATCAGTGAGAAGAACAAGACATTTATCTGTGATCAGTCAGCGGCCTGTCAGGCCTAGCTATGCTCTGTACATACGGACGTAATATCAAAGACAGACAGCAGGCCCGGTCTAGGTTAATAGTACATGAAAGTTTGAATGTTAGAGTTGCTCGTTTATGACATAAAAAGATAATTATTTGTTCACCGTATGCAAATTTGGCTTTTTTAACGTTTGGGCGTGTTTCTTTTAAGTCGGTGATTTATTTTGCCCTTCCGTCAAACTTAAAAATGCCTGTTTTCCGGAAGAATGCGCTAAGTGCGCGGAAAATGTTTTAAAATGTGGTGGAAAATGAAAGGAAAGATTGAAGTTACACAAAGCCTTTATCTTATTTCGGCTCGCCGTGTATCGTTAGGTACAACTGTAAAGTTTCCTTGAAGTTTCGATTGATTGAATTATGTACTAAAAAAATTTATTACCTCCATTCATTTGAATTTGTCTGAGGTCTTCTTGTTCAGATATCTTGTATTATCATTAGAGAGGTTACACCCAAACTTATACGATCAACCGACTACAGAGAGAATAGGAACTTAACACGAGGAATACATTTTTGTATGATGGTTAAACTTAATGAGCACACCTAAGTGTATTATTTCAAGGTACGTTCAGAAAGAGCTGCAATAATTTTAACATGCACTACGAATGCATGCTGCGAATTTCGCTTTACATCATGCATGATGTGGTTCCACCACAAAAAATACAATATATGAGACAAAGTCGAAAATATTTTAATTGTATTCCCTTTTCTAAATAAAAGAATCATGAAATTGAGTTCCATCAAGAACCGAAGGATGCTTGACGTCGATAGAATCAGACTACTGATATTATATCATTCTAGAGTGACTTGTATAAGAGAAATCAATTCCAAGAGAAAACACTTCCTTATTGCAAGTTGAAGAAAACGCCCAATCGGTTAAAGTGTACAATGATTTGATTCTAGCAAAGGAAAACAGATTTAACTTTATACGGAAGTAAAGACACCAAGATTACAAATCGTATTAGATTAAATGACAGGTCTCTTGTAAGCTACAATTCTGTATATACTTCTTGCGTGATCCAAATCTAAGTTTTCTAATTGAGTAAAAACTTAAGTATATAAGATATGATTTTTAACACCAGTAATAATCAAGTTAGAAATCAAATCACATTATATGGAACACAAAATTAACATGCATTCAAATATTTGTACCTATCTTCAAATAACTACTATTATTCAAATAATTTAACCTATCTTCAAATAAATTGAACATACCGGTAGGTACAATTGAATAAAAATAGGCCTAAATGAATTACAGGTATATAGGTATAAATAATTCCACAACACTTAAATGATTAAAGCAAGGTTCGACTAATGTACACCCATATTTTTAATTCCAATACAGATAGGCTCATTTCAATTAATAAGGGTTTAATCGAATTATACCTATCTTTAATTCATTTGAAGATATGTATACAACTGATTAAAAAATAAGTACCATTAATATATCTCCACAGAGGAATCAAAGATAGGCACGAATCAAACATATACCTATTATTAATTCAAGGCATTTGTGCCTATCTTCAAATCAATTTTAATTCTTTTATCTATCTATCTTCAAACCATAATGAATATATATATTGATTCTATATACATATAAATTAAAGAATAATATAATTGAATTAAACCATATATATCTTCCATTAATTTTGGATATAGGCACAACTGATTTGAGGATAAATACAAATACTTGAAGATAGACAAATTTAAAAAAAAATCGCAGCTATCTTCAAAAAATTTTATCCTGTTTTTTTTAAAAATTGAAGAAATATATATATGAATTAAAGATAGATATAAAAATGCACCATCATCTACCTCTTATTTCATTACAGATGGTTCAAGTTTTAAAGTCCAGATAAGTTTATTGAATTCACTTGAAGAAATGGAGTGAAATATAGGGAGAAATGGTTTACACACAGTCAAACTTATTTCCAACATTGTGTTCTCAAGCGCTTCTTTTTTCCTTTCAGTATATTGAATATTTTTTTTAAATAAGTAAAAGGCATCAAATGATTGGCACCAGTTGTTTTTTTTCTTAATGTCAAGAAAAAGACAAAACAATACAAAATTTGAGCAGAGTAAACAAGGACCTCCAAAACATCAGAAGTGGGATCAGGGTCCATAGCTCGGAGTGAGCATCCAACCGGTCACACCTGCCGTTTGCTCCCTGTCATGATAGGGAAAAACGGAAAAATCTATCGACAATTCAGTGTAAATAATGGTCTTTAGTAGGAAAAACGTCATTCATTTGACTCAATGATAAATTGTATTTACGGAAAAGGTCATTATATCCAGGGTGTTGCTAAAACGCGGAACAGAAAACGGAACGGAAAGCGGAACGGAACGGAAAACGGAAATTTTTTGTCAAACAAATAACATAGATTCGATATAGATAAGATAAAAGAGCAATATTCTTGATGTAAAAGTCATATTTAATAAAAATTTATATATTCATGAATCATGCACACCCTCCGCTCAGAAATGGAGTGGTGTACAAGCCATGCCCCCCCCCTTTCAACAGGCCCGTCGCAGATTGTGTCAAGGAAGGTTAAGTGGTAGTGTTTGGGAAAAAATGGTACTGAAAAAAATTCGACCCACTCCCACCCCACCCCTTCTCCTAATGATATAGGATTCTCGATTTTTTTTTTCCGCTTGTCAAATTTTTTTGTATGTTGGAAATTTATGTTGGAAATTTTTTACTGATCCCCCCACCCCCTCTTTCAATTTGTTTCCAATGCCAATGTCTGCAAAGACAAAAATAACTAGTTTTGAGATTCAGATTATGCACGGAGTGTCGAATTCGTGAATCGATCATGAAAGGGGGAGAGACAGTTTTGGGTTTGGGTAGGGACCGACAGCTATATAAAAATTTAATTTATAAAACCTTAATTATATTTTAGACACAAAAGGGGGGCATATCTATGACAACTTCTCAGACCTTTTCGATGAGCTTGAAAAACAAACTCATTTTTACGGGGTCATTCATAGACACCTGTACAACCCCCCCCCCCCCAACATACACATGTGCACCGGAAAGAAACAAATTTAACTTATTATATCTATCACATGAAAATTTTGTCTTTCCAGAATTTAGATATATAGAAAGCAACTCTATTTTGTATAAAATTTTAACAACCAGTGTGTATAAGAGATGTTTTTTTGCCGTAAAGGTTTGCCCTATACGTAATCTTATATAATATTTTTTTTTCACATTTTACTTCTCTTTACATGGTTCATCTAGATATCAAATATTTGCTCCCCTAGTCATAACCTTTTTACTACGGAAATGTTCGTTCAAGATGACATCCTCACACTTTTTGTGTAATGTAATTAACGTAGCAAGTTAGCGTAAAAAATAGTACTGAAAGATGTTGGAGTTAGAACTTATCCCCCTCCCAAATCAAACAATTGACTTTTAAAAGTTTTTGCTTGTCAATACTTTTCAAGTTCGTTACCCCCCTTTTTTTCAAATTCGATTCTAGGTGACTGCTATGTTAGCGATTTTCGTAAATAAAAGACTGAGCATGACAAAATCAACTTGTATTTAATAGTGGGGGATTGAATATGTACAAGATATATCGTTTATGGAAAAATTTGTGTATTTTAAGTGATTTAATACATAACCATATATTCCGTTTTCCGTTCCGTTCCGCTTTCCGTTCCGTTTTCCGTTCCGCGTTTTAGCAACACCCTTATATCCACGATAGAACTTACGAAATGATGACTTTAAACGAGAATGCTGGTTTTATGTTTCATCAACTTCATCAACTTGTTTGTCAATAATCTACCTCGTTTTAGAAATTGTTCATTGGGTAAAGCGTGCTCTTGCATATCGAATCAACAGACATAAACCCCGTATGCAGGTGATGAAGGTAGATTGCTTAATTAATCAAAGTACTGAAAGTACTGGGAAGCGCTAAGCATATTGATTTGAAATTCGTCAGATTTTTTTCTAATTTAAAATGTCCTGTTGAATTTGATTCTAAGCGATATTTTGACAGTGCGATAGCGCTAGGTCGAGCACAGTTGTCAAAAAGTATGTGAGTTGAAAAATTTATGAAATTCAACATTGTCTCATGCCTTTTTTTTCAAACATTATACATTATCTTGGTATGTGAAAAGATCAATCAATTTCACTCACAGTACTGTACACGAAATTGCAAGAAAATATTTTTGCGTGTAAAATTATCTTCTTTCCCCGTCGCCTTGTAGGAATCTATAAGAGGTCGTATTTGCGTATAAATTGCAATTTATTGGAAGAGAGATGTTAATCGAGTTTTCCGATGAAATTTAAGCTCTAAATGTACATGTAGCATTTGTGTTTTATATTTGTATTTGCATTTGTATTGTATTTCAAAAAAATGCGAACACTTGAAAATGTCGCTAAAATTTCTCTCATTTACGTGCAACACTGAAAGATCAA